GTTGAAACAAATAGCAAATGTTATGAAAAACTGTCCCTTCTGCGAATACCCAAAAGTGCCGTAATTCGAACTGACCTAAGATAACGACAGAGCGTCAATATTTTCGTGAATATTTTGCCCCTGTCGAAAGATAATATCCGATGGACCAGTGTGAAACTGATGTGGCGCTCACACTACAAGTATTTCAATCCACATGTTGAGTTTCACACTGGTCCAACAGATATTATCTTTAGAGGAGGGCGAAATATTCTCGGGAGTATTGGCGCTCTGCCACTAACTTAGATCAGTTTGAATCGCGGCACGTTTGGATATTCGCAAAGGCGACATTATGTCCATTCATTTGCTTTTTGTTTCAACCCGTTATTACATGACGGAAGTATATGTCCGGAATAATATCAGCAAATAAATCACTGTGCCGTGGATTTGGCTCAGACTGAGAGGTAGCAGAGGTAGGTTTTTGAAATCTACCATTCAATTCTTATCGGATAATAAAATAATAGTTTATGGTATATGCAAACTATCTCCTGTTTGAAGCACTCTGAGAGATACTGTAAAAAGCCATCACCTGAGGTAACATAAGAGAATGAGATAAACATCAACTCATCTACAGAGCATGTTATTTTTCGATGCGTGTAGCTGTAGACGATTCTCTTTTCTCTTCAGCAAATCACAATTTCTTGAAAGAGTAACAATATCTCAGTATAGTTACAAAAAATATCCTCGAAATACGTTTGAATGAACATGAATTTATTTTGGGATGAATAGTCTAGGTTCAATGAATCAAGAGCATAGGAAAACTTCATGAAATTTGGAATGGATACCGAATTCAAAATACCTGTTCGAACGCGCCTGGGAAATTTCCTATGTACATAATAATATAATTATTATAAGCGATGTTTTTCCTCAGCAAGATTCAACCAACACGCAGATTATGAGGATATTGAAATACTGAATATGCTAAAATATGCAAAATGTCCATCTGAAATTATGGATGTACTTGGTATCATAGTATATGCGAAGTATCTGCAGATGTATGAAATATTCTGGGAATTAAATATTCTAAAAAAAGGTAGGTATAACATAAGAAAATGGGATAAACATCAACTCACCTACAGAGCATGTTGATTTTTCGATACGTGCAGACGATTCCTTTTCCTCTTCACCAAATCACAATTTGTTGATACAGTAACAATTTCTCACTATAGTTAGAAAAAATACTTTTGAATGAACATGAATTTTTTTTGTTGAATGAATGATCTAGGTTTGATGAACCAAGAGCATAGGAAAACTTCATGAAATTTGGAATGAATACTGGATTTAAAATAGCCATCAGACTCCCGTGAAAATTTTCCGGTGATATAAAAATGATGTTTTTCCTCATAGTGATTCAACCAACACGTAGATTATGTTTGACATGATACTGATACTGGAATATTGGATATGCTGAAATATACACCATGCCAATTTGAAAATTATACAGAATGTATCTGAATAACACCGAGAACATCAAAGAGGTGATTCCTTGTGATATTTCAGGAAATAAAGTTCATATAAACATGTGTCCTAACTTGCTCTGTTTTCGAGATACAGGATGTTGAAGTTGGAAGTATTAATTGTTTTTATTTATAACCCCCCTGTATAAGCTTCCATGGTGCCAAAATTCAGTATGGTTGGTTACTAACAAGGTGTTTGAAACATTCTGAGAAACCCTGTAAAAAAGTCATCACATGAGGTAACATGAGAGAATGAGATGAGCATCAGCTCACCTACAGAGCATGTTATTTCCCGATGGATGCGTGTATATGAATAATTCTCCTTTCTCATCACCAAATCACAATTCCTTAAAAACGTAACAATTTCTCAGTCTAGTTACGAAAAATATCCTCGACAAACGTTTGAATATACTTGATTTTTTGTTCAGGATGAATGATCTAGGTAATGAACCAAGAGCATAGGAAAACTTCATGAAATTCGGAATAGATATCGAATTTGAAATAGCTAGATTCGCGTGGGAATTTTCCGGTGATATAGAAGCGATGTTTTTCCTCAGAAAAATACAACCAGCACGCAGATAATGTTAGATAAATATGCTGGATATACAGCATATTCATTTGAAATTATATAATATACTTGTAGTATCTATCTACTATCTCCTGTTTCAAACATTCCGAGAGATCTTGTATAAAAGCCATCACCTGAGGTAACATAATAGAATGAGATAAACATCAACGCACCTACAGAGCATGTTATTTTGCCATGCGTGTACCTGTAGACGATTCTCTTTTCTCTTCAGCAAATCACAATTTCAGTATAGTTACAAAAAATATCCTTGGAATACGTTTGAATGAACATGAATCAGGATGAATAGTCTGGGTTTGATGATTCAAGAGCATAGGAAAACTTCATGAAATTTGGAATGGATACCGAATTCAAAATACCTGGTCAAACTCGCCTGGGAAATTTCCGATGTAATCATTATGAGCGCTGTTTTTCCTCAGCAAGATTCAACCAACACGCAGATTATGATGATACTGAAATTTTGAATGTGCTGAAATATACAGCATGTTCATTTGAAATTATGGAAAATTATGCGTACTTTCTGCTGATGTATGAAACATTCTTAGAATTGAACCCTGTAAAAAAGCCATCACATGGAGATAGGTAGGTAACATAAGATGATACGGTAAAAATCAACTCACCTACAGAGCATGTTAATTTTTCGATGCGTGTAGATTATTTGTTTTCTTTTCACCATATCACAATTTTTTGAAACAGAAACAATTTCTCAGTATAGTCACAAAAAATACTTTCGAATGGACATCAATATTTTTTCGGGATGAATGATCTAGATTTAATGAATCAAGAGCATAGGAGAACTGGAGAACTTCATAAAATTTGGAATGGATACCGGATTTAAAATTTCCGTCAGACTCCCTTGGGAATTTTCCGATGACATAAAAGCGATGTTTTTCCTCCTGCATAAAGATTCAACCAACACGCAGATTATGTACGACATGACAGCATTCCAATATTTCCAATTCGAATTCATATATACTATAAGTATCATAGTATATGCATGGTATATGCGAACTATTTCCTGTTTGAAACATTCTGAGAAACCCTGTGAAAAAGTCATCACATGAGGTAACATGAGAGGATGGAATGAACATCAGCTCACCTACAGGTCATGTTATTCTTCGATGCTTGTAGACGATTAATTCTCTTTTCTCTTCACTAAATCACAACTCCATAAAACAGTAATAATTGCTCTGTAAAGTCACACAAAATAACCTTGAAATACGTTTGAATGTACATGATTTTTTATTCGGGATGAATTTTCTAGGTTTAATGAATCAAGAGCATAGGAGAACTTTTCTGAAATTTGGAATGGATACCGAATTATAAAATACGTAGTCAAACTACCGATGTTTTTCCTCAGCAAGATTCAACCAACACGCATATTATATAATGATACTGAAATATTGAATATGCTGAAACGAGTGCTGAAATATACGAAATGTCCTATTGAAATTATGGATATACTCAGTATAATAGTATATTCGAACTATCTGCAGATGTATGAAACATTCTGGAAATTGAACACTGTAAAGCCATCACATGCGGTAGGTAGGTAACATAAGAGAATGAAATAAACATCAACTCACCTACAGAGCATGTTGATTTTTCGATACGTGTAGACGATTCTTTTTCCTCTTCACCAAATCACAATTTGTTGATACAGTTACAATTTCTCTGTATAGTTAAAAAAATACTTTTGAATGAAACTGAATTTGTTTCGGGATGAATAGTCTGGGTTTAATGATTCAAGAGCATAGGAAAACTTCATGAAATTTGGAATGGATACCGAATTCAAAATACCTGGTCAAACTCGCCTGGGAAATTTCCGATGTAATCATTATGAGCGCTGTTTTTCCTCAGCAAGATTCAACCAACACGCAGACTATGATGATACTGACATTTTGAATGTGCTGAATCATACAGCATGTTCATTTGAAATTATGGAAAATTATGCGTACTTTCTGCAGATGTATGAAACATTCTGAGAATTGAACCCTGTAAAAAAGCCATCACATGGAGATAGGTAGGTAACATAAGATGATACGGTAAAAATCAACTCACCTACAGAGCATGTTAATTTTTCGATGCGTGTAGATTATTTGTTTTCTTTTCACCATATCACAATTTCTTGAAACAGAAACAATTTCTCAGTATAGTCACAAAAAATACTTTCGAATGGACATTTTTTCGGGATGAATGATCTAGATTTAATGAATCAAGAGCATAGGAGAACTGGAGAACTTCATAAAATTTGGAATGGATACCGGATTTGAAATTGCCATCAGACTCCCGTGGGAATTTTCCGATGACATGAAAGCATTCCAATCCGAATTTATATATATACCAAGTATTATAGGTATATGCGAACTATCTCCTGTTTGAAACATTCTGTGAAACCCTGTGAAAAAATCATCACATGAGATAACCTGAGAGGATGGAATGAACATCAGCTCACCTACAGGTCATGTTATTTTTCGATGCTTGTAGACGATTAATTCTCTTTTCTCTTCACTAAATCACAACTTCATAAAACAGTAATAATTGCTCTGTAAAGTCACACAAAATAACCTTGAAATACGTTTGAATGAACATGATTTTTTATTCGGGATGAATTTTCTAGGTTTAATGAATCAAGAGCATAGGAAAACCTTCCTGAAATTTGAAATGGATACCGAATTATAAAATACGTAGTCAAACTACCGTGGGAAATTCTCGATATTCATGTAATTATCATGAATGATGTTTTTCCTCAGCAAGATTCAACCAACACGCATATTATATAATGATACTGAAATATTGAATATGCTGATATATTCGAACTATCTGCAGATGTATGAAACATTCTGGAAATTGAACACTGTAAGAAGCCATCACATGCGGTAGGTAGGTAACATAAAAGAATGAGATAAACATCAACTCACCTATAGAGCATGTTGATTTTTCGATACGTGTAGACGATTCTTTTTCCTCTTCACCAAATCACAATTTGTTGATACAGTTGAAATTTCTCTGTATATATAGTTAAAAAAATACGTTTGAATGGAAATGATTTTTTTTGGGGGGCGAATGGTTTAGGTTTAATGAACCAAGCGCATAGGAAAATTCCATAAAATTTGGAATGGTACCGGATTTGAAATAGCCAGACTCGCGTGGGAATTTTCCGGTGATGTAAAAGCGATGTTTTTCCTCAGAAAGATTCAACCGAGACGCGTCTCGCCGCTTTTAATGTCAGGCGGCGACTGAAATATTGAGGACCTGGGAAAACTCGACCGTTATCGAGAGGAGGCGGAAATGGTCGAAAAGGAAATTCACTATCAAAATGTGATGGCTTTTCAGAGAAGTTTTCGGGAACGTTTTCATGAATTATTACACACGTTCCCTTTGCAATTTGGTTGTGTGTGATATATAGACGCGAAACTGTATTTTAAGAACTCTAAGGACATGTTCCAAGGGTTGATAATCAGAATTGCGAGATGTAACGGAAACATGGAAATAAGCTCAGGTGAAGTTTGGGGGATCAACATGTATACAGGGTGTTTAAAAAAAACCTGACCCCCTTGCTAGGGTAGGTAGAACACTGCAAAATAAGTTGGATTTGCTCAGTGACAAAATGTCGTATCGGCATCCGTTTTCATGATACAAGGTGTTGAAAAAATGATTTTGTTACACATTTTTCACGATTATGTCGAAACTACTGGCAACATTGTAATGAAATTTTGTATGGATGTTTCTTGGAATCTGACACATCGCATGAATTTCTGTTTATATCGAACCCTCATAGAGGGCGCTAGTTACACGGTTCGTACCGAGTAGTTTAGAACATAACTTTTTTTAGGTTAGATTTTTCAATCCAAATATGATATGAGCTTGAACATCATTCAATTTTACACCAAAAAGGTAATCTTGGTGAAACTCGATACTAAGTATGTTCCGTTTTCGGATTATTTCGATTTGAAAATGATGGAGTAGTAATTAATGATGCTGGTATAAAATGAATTCCATTGAGTTCAATTACCTATTTATTCAGATTCAAAAACAATAAAATTATTCTTGTCCTGAAGTTATTGATGGAGCAAAGAATCATAAGTAGAAAATTAAGAGATATCTGAAAAGAAACATAAAATATTGAATCAGTTAGTGTATAAGTGTTCAAAATGTCCTACGTTTCGAAGAATTCACGATTCTATATTCTTTTCTTAAGAATGTATTTTCCTTCTAAACAGTTGAGGATCAGCTGTTAGGTCATTCAATTGATGTTCAGTTATGGCTTACAACTCTTGACGTGGATTTACCTATGTAACATAGACCTTCTGCTCAAGATACAACAAAACTGTGTAATCCATGTTCTTAGTCAAATCTGTTTCGATGTTATTATTGTGATTCACTGTTAATTCATTGAGTTTAGCATCAGAAATGTATTGTTGTTCTCAATTTTCAATTAATAGGTGATAATTTTTCATAAGTAATACTCACTCTAATACATAGCTTTATACCAGCAACAGTTATCACTTCATCATTTTAAAATCGAAATATTCCGAAAACGGAACACAGTATCGAATTTTACCAAGATTTTCGGTGTGAAATTGAATGATGTTCAAGTTCACATCAAATTTCGATTGTAAAATCTAACCTCAAAAAAGTTATGTTCAAAACTACTCGATATGAACCGTGTAACTAGCGCCCTCTATGAGAGTCAGGTATAAAAGCAAATGCATGCGATGTGTCAGATTCCAAGAAACATCCATACAAAATTTCATCACAATGTTGCCCGTAGTTTCGACATAATCTCGAAAAATGTGTAAAAAAATCATTTTTTCAACACCTTGTATAACGGATGCCGTTACGAAATTTTTTTACTGAGTAAACCCAACTTATTTTGCAGTGTTCTAACTACCCTAGTAAGGAGGTCAGGTTTTTTTGAAACACCCTGTATCATTATGGTTCTTGTCACATTTTGAATGTATGGTTCAGAAGTTGTTAAGTTACTTAGAGCACTTCATGTTATGGGAAATGGAGTCAATTATCAACGTGTGAATGTTTCATCTAATTGATTTGACAATGAAATATTTACACGATATATACTTACTTCTTCGTTTCATTGATCAGTTACGTGAATGCAGCTTGTACAAATCTTCACCTTATATCATTCACATAATGTTGGCTTCTAGGTTTCATAGTGAAGAACACTAGGAATGTGAAGAACAAACGATATATTTCTAAGAAATTCTCGAAATCAAGACATATTTCACCAACACAGTAGCATATTTTCAACGTGTATTGTTCCTGATATATCCCTAATAGCACACAACGTCCTAAGGACGTCCCTATTTGGTACAATTCACGTCCGAATGTCCCGAACCAAAAATAAGTGTCCTTGGGACGTCCCATCCCGTACATCTCATGCAATGTTCGAGCAAGGACGTTCACGGAATGTCCCAGCTGGTACATCATTTCAAATGTCATGGAAATAGCATCCCTAAGACGTCCCACGTGGTACATATTGTAGAATGTCCATGCAAGGACGTCCTTGGTATGTTCCTGATAGGATATGATTTTAAACGTTCCTTCAGGGACATCCATCGGATGTACCGAGTAGTACATACTCTGGCATGACTTCAGATCTTATATAATGTCCCTTCTAGAGACAACCATAAAATGTCCCTGATGGTACATTCCTTTGAATATCTCTGCACAGACACCCCTTGATAAGTATAGTGCAGATTTCGAAGGTAACAACTTCCCCTCCACTCCCAAGAGGTCTACCTGTGAACCTTTTCTAAGTGAGCTGAGTAATCTACCCCTAAGACAATATCCAAAACACATTTGGAGAAAATGTTAGTATTCTGACTGGCAACATCGTAAAAAAACAACAATGCACTAATAAAAAAATCTACATTGATTTTCATCCCAAAATGGGCATGCCAAAAGGCCTGCTTCTCAGACAGCGAACATCACTCTACTGAGGTATAATTACGCCGTTCCTGCACAGCAACTTGCCCCAGAGAGAATTCCCTCGTAACCCTCGATGAAGAAAATGTAGGTGTATGTTGGACAATCTGATGATAACTCACTCTAGAATACTCAAACTATATAGTACTTGAAGTACGTTATTTTTGTTTGATTCGTAGAAAACGCTTTTCAAATCGGTATAAAGGAATAAAAATGGGTCCCTTTTTTTTATAATCCATGATAGTTTCCCTTTTCTTTTCGTACATGAGCTTGAAGAATCACGCAGTTACCTGACTGAATACTTGATATTTAATCACAACCAATATCCGTTTGGCTTAATAAAGTCCACGTGTCGAATATACCGATTGGACCGACTCTGAGTCTGAATTAGACGGTTTCAGATTGAGATCCTTCACATGACATGTTCCCTTTGAACGTCCCTGCTCATCGACGAGCTCATATGTAGTAGGCCAGATAATTTGGTTTTCACAACAAGAGGGCCTACCAATCTGTTCGCCGTGGCCGTGAGTTTTGGGAGCATCCAAGGGAACGTGATTCCTTCGATATCGATATACTCGATCGCCCACGGCGTGAGTCACGTGACGATGCCTCAGGTTATAGCGATGATTAGTTGCAACACGGATGCTACGGATTCGTTCTTGGACACCTCGATTCTAATTGGGAAAGGGTGCAAGGTTATTGAACATTATAGGGTAAACCTCTCGTGCGCTCCAAGCGATAAGAAAAAATTCGCTAGTCCCAATGTATTCTTTCGAAAATTCAACGAAATAATGGGTCAACCCAGTGACTTCATGGACCGATGATCGTACAGCACATCCAACCTTCGGAAGGAGACAATCCCAATTTTTGTGATTGTCTTCGTTGTAACATCTGAGCATAGTTTTCAACAACCCATTCACCCATTCAACACGGTTAGCCTGCGGGTGATATGCGGGACTGAATCGAACCTCGACAGAGTAAAGGCAACACGAGCCGTTGCTCATCGGAGGGAATAGAAAAGAGGAAATTTACTGAAAGTGTTCAACACGACCAACACAAATCGATAACCTTGAGACGATCGAGATACAGGTCCGAAACGATCAATACTCATCGTTGCCCTCATTGGCTAATCAGATCTCGCAACGCCGGATATAACGCGTGACATCAGCCTTCATCTTTCTCTCTCGGACATTATAAACACGCTACAATGACCCACAGCGATATCATCGTGATTTTTCTCGAGTCCTCGCGTAGAGGACGTTATCTTTGTAACGCCACTGAGGAAACTTCAGTGGGTTAGGTTCAGGAGTAGCGTTTTGATCATCCACAACAACTATTTCTGGAACAGATGGACTCGAAATATCTGGAATTACATAGTCGCGGCCTCTACGGTGAATAACCTCAAAATTGAATTGCTAGCAATCGAAGTACCCAACGAGCTCGACGACCTGTGTATAGCCACACCAAGCTGTTATGTTCCGTAATTACCTCAAAACTGTATACTTCTAGATAGAGCCTAAATTTTTCACACGCGTAGATGACTGCAAGAAGTTCACACTCCATGGTGGAGTAATTTTTCTCAGTCTTTGATAGAGAACGGGAAATGTAACAAACTACGTGCCCACCATCTTCAGACTCCTGGGAGAGAGGCGAATAGCATACGCCGGAGCGTCTGTGTGGACGATGAAAGGTTTCGAAATGTCTGGGAATATCAACACAGGAGTCTGAGCTAACAAATTCTTGATAGACTGGAACGATTTCTCGCAATCCTCTGACCCATCCATCTTCTAACTCTCACACAACGAGGCAGTGAGTGGCGCGATAACTGTTGAAGAGATGGGTAAGAATCGTCGATGCCATGAGGCCATCCCGATAATTCGACGTATCTTGGTAGTAACCGTGGGGGGTGTTATGTTCAAGATAGCACTGACCTTCTGAGGTTTCACTTATTTATCAACAGCATAGCCAAGGAACCTCAACTCACTCCTGCAAAACTGACATTTGTCTGGTAATAACGTTAACCCAGCAGGGCAGACGATCCACCAACCGTTGCCAGGTTGCTGGGGCCTTCGTTAGGCCGAATGGCATCTTCTCAAATTGTTAAACACTTCACCTAGGGACTGAATGTTGTCTTATCACAGGAGTCTAGTGCCACCGGGATTTGCCAGTAATAAGCAGACCGGATATCCAAGGAACAAAGATTCTTGGCATTACGCAGTTTGTCAAGGATATTAGCAATAAGAGAGATGGGATACGCGTTCTTTTTGGTCACGCGATCAAGTG